TTAGGGGCCATCTTATAAATCTTCTATAGTTTGGTATAATGGCATCTGTGGCTGTAGCAAAGAAGTCTGCGGCAGCCTAGTTCTTGTTCCTTTGTGGTGGTGGTGGTGGTGGTGGTGGTATGCCATGGAGTTGATTCCAACTCATAGCAACCCTGAGTAGTTTCCTAGGCTGTAAATCTTTACAGGAGCAGAAAGCCTCATCTTTCTCCGACAGAGCAGCTGGTAGTTTCAAACTGCTGACCTTGAGGTTAGCAGCCCGTCTCGTAACCACTATGCTACCAGAGCTCCTTTGTAGGTCACTAAATCTGTTTTTTATTGAGTGCTTGGGATTTCCCCCTTATACCTATATTTTAGAAATGGTGGCACGAAGCTTGTGATTGTAGGTTTCTTTTTATGGGATTTTCACCTCTAGAAGACTGTACGTTCTTACCGTTTATATGACCAATGTTTTCAATTTAGTAATGTTTTCTCCCATTATGTCAATTATATCAGCTTCTCCCATTATATGCTAGCTCTTTGGTCTTTATCTCTCACCCCATCCTATTCTCCCTCTTCGTTTTCTTGTTTCTGTCCTCACAGTCTTCCTTTTGATAGAAATAGGATGACCACTACTCACATTACCTCACTGATCAGCATCTGCCAGGAAGACAGTTTTTATGTGCCACTGAGTCGGTTCTAATCCATAGCGACCCTGTATAGGGTTTCCAGGGAGCAGCTGGTGAGTTTGAACGTCTGACCCTGTGGTTCAAACTGACTTTGCAGTCCAGCACATTAACCCACAGTACCACACCAGGACTCCAAGGAGGACAGTAGAGGCCTCCATAATCTGATTCATTTATGACACCCAGGGTTTCTCTGTCAGGGGATGTGGAGCAAGGAGCCACCAAGTGTCATAAATTCAAGCTCAGAGAGAGACTGTTCTTTGTCATTTACCTTATATATTAGGGTTTGGGTTTTGTTTTGCATTAGTCTAAGCTTTTCACAGAGGAATTAGATGCATTTTCATCTTTTTCTGTTATCAGTTACTTTGACAAAATCACTGAGTTGTTTTGAGTCAGAAAAAGAGAGAGAATATGGCTCTCAGTCATCTTTATGAGACGGGTTATAATAAGTATTCTTTGTATTTAAACTCTAAGAGCAGGGGGTATATCTCCTGTGTAGCCCTCAGTTTTGTGGGTGGGGTGATTCTCATAGCCAGCAGGGTATGGGAAGGGCTTCTCTTTGACACAGGACACAGAAGATGTGGTGGGGTAAGCGTTTTCAGACCTATTCTGACTTTCTGGTCCTCACTGGCACGCCATAGTAATTTACACGAGAAGCGCTCAAAGAAATCTGGGTACCAAAGACCCTTCCAACAACAGCCTTATTTGCCTGACTTTCCCTGGGGAACTTCTGCATTTGATTTACCTCCCTTTCCTGCTGTCAGGGATGAAACAAAGAGGCCAGTTGCTTGCCTGGGAACTCACAGAGAGAAGAAAGAATTCCAGACTTAGAAATCCTTGGCTTTGTTGTTCTTATCAGTCTAAGTGGGCCTATGAACCACTGCTGTCCCTGTCAACTACATGTACTGAACACATGCCCTGGGGATGTATCACATCCGTCAGCACGGGCCCTTCAAGTGCATGGTCCTGACATGGTGTCTTTTGAGGCATGCCCTACTTGCTTGATGTTGGTTCAACAGCACCATCCAGACTCACATTTGCAGACCAGCTTATCATTTCAACTAATGGCAAAGCCAATATAGGACATACATCATATCGTGTAACAGTGAGGGTTATTGGGATGGTGAAAGCTTTTGAAGAGCATTTTAATCCCATTAAAGTTTTTAATGGGAAGCTGGGGGAGGCAGCATTAGAAGGTTCTGGCCAGACATCATTTTAAGTAGGAATCCTTTCCTATTGATTCTTTTATTGGTTCCTAGACACTGAGTAATCCCAGTGCTGGGGCTCAGATGCCCTCTTCTGCTTTCTTGAGATGAGCAGGCAATGGACATCATGGTTAGCGCAACAGACTAGACCCTTCTAGACCCTCAGGGTGCCCTGAGGACAAGACTGTCAAACCTATTTCCAAATTCCACCCATACTATAAAAAAATTCCCAGAAATAATCATAAAGCATCCAGTGGTCTGCATATTTAAAGAGGGGCAGACAGGCCCGTCTGAGGCCTCAAGCCCTTCAGCCAACCACAGCCACCTTGACTTATCAGCAAAGTGTAGGATTTACTTCCTAGCTGATCTGGTCATTTCCCCTCTATCCAAATCCAGAGAAAATGTTATTTTACATGATGTCATTAAAATGGAGTCCTGGCATGGTGCTATAGGATAAGCGCTGGACCTCAAGGTCAATTTGAATTTCAAGATTGGTGGTTCAAACTCACCAGCTGCTCCTTGGAAACCCTATACAGAGCTGATACTAGTTGGAACCTGCTTAATGGCACTTAACAGCAACAACAAAATAGTTACAATAATATTATAATAGCAGGTCTTACAGCCAGTATACTCCTTAAAAGGGAGGATGGCAAGACTTTATCTCTCGTACTTTGGACATGTTACCAGGAAGGACTAGTCCCTGGAGAAAGACATCATGCTTAGTAAAGTTGAAGATCAACAAAAAAGAAGAAGACCCTCATGAAATGGACTGACACAGTGTCAGCAACAATGGACTCAAACAGAACAATTGTGAGGATGGCATAGGACCTGGCAAAGTGTTTCATTCTGTTGTGCGTTAGGTGACAATGAGTTAGATCTGACTGGACAGTGCCTGAGAATATCGATTAGTAACTTCTTCATTAAAATTAACTTAGGAAATATGCCTGTGTTTCTACTCAGGCATTTTTCTGCCTTTTAGTCAGTTTTTACTGACTAAGACTTATGGCATGCTTATCGGTCTAAGAACCCTCATGCTGTGGCCTTGAATTTTGCCATGATTTTTTAACAAAAGCAATGCCATTATGACCCTAATAAGCAAAAGACTTTATTGGACATAATTGTTCTGTGGATTTTTCACCTCCAGTCTGATGGCTCTGCCCTGAGAGTCAAAGAATATTTCATTTCTTTGTCTAGAAAAGTCTCTTGTGTAGTTATAGTGCCAGTGAGAATTTGGAGAGGACTGGGGCAAGGAAGGACAGGGCATTGGGAGCCCCTAACCCTGAGAGTTGCACCATCCTTGCCCCTGCCCCCTGCAGACTACTCCATGATGACGCCCATCAACGACCTCCACACTGCTGACTCCCTGAATCTGGCCAAAGGTGAGCGGCTTATGCGGTGCAAGATTAGCAGCGTCTACCGACTCCTGGACATCTACGGCTGGGCCCAGCTCAGCGACACCTACGTAACGGTAGGTGAGCCTCCTAAGGGAGCACTCCCAACCCTTGCATGGTCGTGGCACTGCTGGTGGCCTTCAGCTAAAATGCACTGAGCCCTTCCAAGGTTTCTAACCACTGTAATCCCCTAAACCAGTCTGCCCAAAGGATGCTTCTCTGGAGGAGGAGCTAACAACTCCTGGAGCTTATTTCCACGCCTCCCTTGATCATCTTCAGGCTTCTCTTGTCGCTCCATTTCCTGAGCTCCAAACAAAGGAGACATCCTCTTCACTGGACTGCGGACCACAAAGTCAGCTGTTTGAGCCCACCAACAGCTCCATGGGAGAAAGATGAAACTTTCTGCTCCCATAAAGATTTATAGCCCCAGAAACCCTATAAGGATCGCTATGAGCCATACCTGACTCAATGGTCCTTAATAACAACAACAACCTCTTCCTTTTCCATGAGTGGTGGTGGTGGTGTGCCGTGGAGTCGGTTGCAACTCACAGCGACCCTGTACAGGTTTTCCGAGGCTCTAAATCTTTATGGGAGCAGAAAGCCTCATCTTTCTCTTGCGGGACAGCTGGTAGTTTCCAACTGCTGACCTTGAAGTTAGCAGCCCATTGAGGTTAGCAGTCCAATTCAAAGCAGAGTTCCTTTTTCCATGAGTAGGGAGAGAGATAAGGATTCTTTGGAGGAAGACTTGGGCATAGTGGATTCCGCGTAAGAAGGGATTCAAACAGTGTTCTTGGAATTGACCGATCTCCGGCCTTGCTCCTGAAAGCCTGTTTCTTTCCCCCAGTTGCGGGTCAGTAAGGAGCAGGACCACTTCCTGATCAGCCCTAAGGGAGTGTCTTGCAGTGAAGTTACGGCATCTAGTCTGGTGAGTACAGCCCAGTACCCCACTACCCACTCTCCCACAGTGACATGGATGTCCTCCCCTCGCTCACAGTCTCACAGTCTGATGGGGCAGAGAAGACACATGTACATCCAAGCAGACTAAGTGTTCAGTGTGTGATGCTGCAGGGAGGCAGGTGGTCGTGCAGCAGGGGAGAGGGCGAGATAAGATGACCTGGAATCCCTGGAGCAGATCTGTGGAATGGCAAAGCCCACGGTTAGACTGCAAAGGCTGGGAGTGGTGTGGCCTGGTGGACGTGAGGGTATGTTTGTACAAGACCCAGTGGTTTGTCTCAAAGCAATTCATGACCTATCTAGTCTGATGCTGCTACAGGTAGCGTCTAAACCCCTTTCAGCTCTCCTGCTTCTTTTAGGTATGTTATGACGATTGATGAAACTGGTTCAGGCCAGGAAAGAGTTTAGCTGGAAGGCAGAGCATAGTAGAGAGGAGTTAGGCACAGAAGAGGTTGTGTGTACAGGCTGGTGAGTCTGCACCTGGGAAAGGATTCCATGTCCAGAGCGCCACCAGGCTTGTGAAGCACTCTGGTGTAGATCCTAGCTACTCATTCGAAAAGTCTAGGCTGACAAAACCATAGACTGTATGGGCAGGAAAGAACACTGGTGCTAGAGAGGGTAAGTGGTGAACACAAGGCCACTCAAGGTCATGGTCAAGTGGAACTGGGGCCACAGAGACAAGGACGGCATAGGCCCTGTCTTCCAGGATTCATGTTTGAGTTGGGACAAGGCAGTCAGTGAGTGGATCTCAGGAAGAAGTGTGCTCTGATAGAGAGAATGGAAATTTGGGGGCCTTGGGAAGCCAGTGTGCTTAGGAAGGTGGAGGGACGAAGGAGGAGGCTTCTAGGGTGAAAGAACGGTGCTAGAGTGGGGTCCTCATGAGTCAACAGAAGTAAGCAGACTTGAACCAGGGTGGCAGGGAGAGGTTTGGGGGAGAAGTGAATGAGTTTTCAGCAGGTGTGTAGCATGCTCCCAGGCCACAGGCACACAAGGCCTCTGTGCATTTGGGAGGGCAGGCAAGTGGCTGAATCTGGCTCAGGTGTTGACTGTCTGGAGGTAAGGCTGGAAGGGCCATGGACCAGATGATCAACTGAGGGCCTTGTCAAGAACTGTTCAATGTGCCGAGTCCCTGGAGTATTTTAAGCAGGTAAGTAATGAGCTCAGGTTTTTATTGTAGGAAGAGCATTGGACAGCCATGTAGAAGCAGGGTAATTCCCAGCTGCAGAGAGACTGCACCCAGGGCACCATGGCCTTGTCAGGAAGACGCTGCTGGGAGGGGCTTGTTTCAGGGTTTGGGCTAGTGGTAGGTGGATTTGATGGAGCTCCTAAGGAGGAGGGCTGCCTAGATTGGGAGCCTTCAGGATGCAGGGACAGTTCTGTTCGTGGCTATTTTGATCATTTTTATCTGGGAGGTGGAGGGATGGGACAAGGCTACTGGTAGCTGGGGGAGGGAGATGCTGGTCAGTCTTGTGGTTGCTCAGTGCTCTCATTTTGGCCTGGGCTTTGGCATGAGTAAGTAGTTGCCTTTCGTTTTGCTATATCATAGTCACAAAGCAGCCTTCTCTGGTGCCGATGTTGTGTGAAATGACTTGTGTTGAAAGGAGAAGGCACTGGCTTAGCTGTGAGCACCAGGCCAGCCACCCACTGACACCTGTCAGGGCTGCTCTTGTTCTTTCCCAAACTCTTGGACCACACCTGCCTTCACGTAGGTGCATGTGCACATGCGTACATACACACACACAAGTGCACGTACAGCTTTTAGCCATGGCACCTACTGACCCCTTGGAAGCAAAGCAACATAGAAGGTTAGTGACTGCTTTCTACTTGTCCTTTAAGACAAGTTTAGGTGACTAGTAAATGATGACGACTAGTCTCCTTACCTTTGTGTGTGATTGCATTTTTTTAAGCTTTTATTGTGAATTATGTGATAGTTTTCATGGGGTAACATTAACTTTATATTTATCCTATCGTATTTTCTTTCATTTCAATGATTAAAATCCCCTGCATGCATCATCAAACAACCAAAGGGTACACCCCTTAAACCTGCTCTCCGGTCATCAGCACACAGCCCCTCTCCCTCCCTGAGTCCAGAGTCCCCAGGCACTCCATCTCTCCACGTCATTGTCTCTGCCTCTATCTCTGGCAACACTGCTTCTCTGGGTAGGGTCCCGCACTCTGCTCTATGATTGCATTTTTTCAGAATTGTTTCTAAGGCTCAACTTGGAGGTCGCCTCCTCTGAGAAGCCTTCCTCGGTTGCTACTTAAAGGCTGAGATGAAAGCAGTTCACTCGCTGCTTCTAGAAAATTCTGTGAATGACTATCTTCTAGCTCCTTGTTGTTATAATGTGGTCTGTGACCCACAGCCCAGGTGTTATGTGGGAGCTTGTTATGTGGGAGCTAAATGCAGAATCTCAGGCCCCACCCTGACCTGCTGAATCAGAATCTGGATTTTGCAAATAACTCCAGGCGATTCATGTGCCTAGCATAGTCTGAGAGACTCCTCTCTAGCTTTTTCCACACTGAATGATTGTAACCACCTGTTTTCCTCATCACTCTCCCTGATGAGACTGTGAGTGTGCTGAGAGCAGGAGCCCGGTTTCTTCCCCAACTAACACTAGTGGCACTATTGCTGATGTGTGGCGGGGGGGGGGGGGGGGGGGGGGGGGGGTGTGTGTGTGGCTAGAGGGTACCATGCCCACCTGAGGGAGGGGACTGAGGAACCTGTCTGCCTGTTGTCACCAGTCTCTCATCTTCCCTTGCCCAGCTCAAGGTGAACATCCTGGGAGAGGTGGTAGAGAAGGGCAGCAGCTGCTTCCCGGTGGACACCACAGGCTTCTGCCTGCACTCGGCCATCTACGCAGCCAGGCCTGATGTGCGGTGCATCATCCACCTGCACACACCTGCTACGGCTGCGGTGAGTGGCCCTCCTGCCAGGCACATGCTTCCCCTTCACCCTATGTGGTTCACTCCCTGAACATGAAGCCCACTGCTCATTTCTCTGAGACTTCCCCTGAGGAAGAGACATAAGCCCTCCAAGCTAGTAGCAAATTCATCATTTAAAAGTTCTGGAAAGATTTCACTCTTCACTCAGGCCAAGGTGAAGAGAGAAAACTGCCAACATGGGGATCTTCATTCCCTCCAGTTTTCTCTTTACCAAAGTCTTGGCTTTGGGTGGTAAGGTAAATATGTGGAATTTGCCCCTGCTGCATACACAGCCCAGGCTTTGAGGAGGGCAAGTCTTGACATAAAAAGCATGACGATGGAACTCTGTCCAATTTTCATAGCTCAGGATGGCTGAGAGATGGGACAGGAGCAAGGAGCTGGGAGATAATAAGAGGAAGACCTCAAAGAACAAGGTAGCTCCAGTGGGTGTCTAGCATTTCCCCATGTGCGCCTAAGACTGTCATCTGGGAAGACAGCAGACAGCCAGTTCTGGCTGTTCCCCCAACCTCCACCCCATCCTACCAAACCGCAGCCACACACCACTTGGCCTGTAGTGTCCTCAGCAAAATGCACCCCTTAGGAGAACTTAGCCACTGCCATTGTAGTGATTCCGCCTTAGAGCAACCCTACAGGACAGAGAAGAGCTACTTTTTAGGGTTCTGAGACTGTAAATCTTGACAGGAGCAGCCTCATCTGCAGCTGCTGGGTTTGAACCACTGGCCTTGTAATTAGCAGCCTAACACTAACCCACTTCACAGCCAGGACTCCTCAACCTCCAGAATTTGTACTGAGACTCAGGGATATGTCAGTGCTGAATGTGCATCTCTGCAGGGCAGCACCAAGGAAGCAGACGGGAACCTTGCCATGCTCCTGGCTTTTAGTTAAGGTTGGGATGGGGTTACAGCCTATGCTGAAGCCACTTTCCTGGCACTTGTACTGCCTGACTGTCACTAAAATGGAGCTTCTGTTAGGGGAGAGTTGTGAGGCTGAGGGTCTCCAGGAACTTATCCCGGTGGACACTGAACACTGGTTCCAACCACACCTCTTCCCAGAGTCCTGAGACAAAAGCACAGGCAGGGGGAGCAACAGCTTTCTTGACAGCATTTTTTCCAGAAATCTTAAAAGAGGACATATTGACAAAGCTCCTGATGAAATTGTGACAGAAAGAAATTAGAGGAAGCAACATGAAAACGAGATCCGAAGCTGGATGGAGGGTGGAGAAGTAGTCAAAGGGCTACTCAGCCCCTACATTACCAGCCACTAGAACCTGACATACTGCTCTGGGGGGCTGGGGGCAGCTGCAAGTGCTAACCATGCCCATGGTCTCTCTACAGGTGTCAGCCATGAAGTGGGGCCTTCTGCCTGTCTCCCATAATGCCCTGCTGGTAGGGGACATGGCCTATTTTGACTTCAATGGGGAAATGGAGCAGGAAGTGGATCGAATCAACCTGCAGAAGTGCCTTGGACCCACCTGCAAGGTTTGGTTCCATTCTCTGGGAAGGTGCTGTGGGGCGGAATTGTTGAATGTGGATGGCACATAAGTGGCACATGTGCTCATTGAAGAATGTCTAGAAGTTGCAGATAAACCAAAAGAAGAAAGTGAAAATCACACTCTCCTGAGACTTCAATGCACACCTCAATTGTAGTCACATATATTTACAAAACTCAGATCCTAAAAGAGTTTCTCCATTTTTCCCTCTTAGCAATATGCAGTAAATGCCCTTGTATGATATTAAATATTTGTCTATCATTATATTTAGCTATTAAATTATACCTCATTGTATGAGTGACTCTGCTGCCTTTTACCTAAATAGTCCTTCATGGTTGGACATTGGAACTGGAAAGGTGTTTCCAAATTGTTTCTAAATCTAAGCAACACTGTGAAGAGAATCTTTTCTGTTAAAATCTTTTTATGTAATGGAGATGATATTCTTAAATTAGGTTCGTAGGGATAGACATTTTAAAGCTCTTAATTCGTACTGTCAAATCACACCGCCACCCTGTTTCCTTCCAGTTTCCATTGTATGAGAATGCTGTTCCTTGAAGTCTCCCCAAACAAATGTTCCCCCCTGCCAACTTGATAGAGAAAAATGGAGTTTCATTATTGCTTAGCTTTATTTAGTCTACAGACGTGTTTTATAAAGCCCATAATGGTAAAGGGGAAGAGGCTGTCAGCTTAGTATGGGCAGTATTTCGAACCCAGTCTGGAATAATGGACTTTAGTTTCTGCCCTTGCAAGAGACTCCCTGCCTATGTCACTTCCCCTTGGAGTGTCCCTGTGTGTCCATTTCTAACAAGGATGAAAGACCTCTGCTCTTCTCTCTGTGACGTTCTTTGTTCTTTGTGGTCATTCATTTGAGAGGGTAAGAGGTATTCACATTGATGAAGTGCTGCAAGAGGTGAGAGATGAAGCACTTGCTATTTTGTACAGTCTTTTGTGGGCCAGAGACATTTCTATGTAAAAGAGGGGCGGGAAATCAGCTCTTTTTAGTAAGAAAGGATGTGATGTTTAGAACCACCATGTCCCTGTTCAGGTTCCTGCAGAGACAGATCTGACTCATGGATCTGACAGAGCTCCTAGGTGGGCATTATCTGGCTCCAGAGAGTTCTTGAGATAAAAACCAACCCAGAAAAGTGTCTGGCAGAGAGGGTGCCCCTGGACAGTAGGGATTCGTGTTCTTGGTATAAATTCATCCCCTCCTTTTATCCCCCTGTTCCTGGTGAGTCAGAAATGAGGCATGAATAATGAGGACATCTGAGATCTAGTTCAGATTCTGCCTTTACCTAACTGGGAGATTTCCGTTTCTTTAGGCTTCTGTTTTCTCATCTGTAAAACTGGTGAGTTATATTGGAAGGTCACGATGACCTCTTTCTTTTAGCTTCCTTCTTAGTGGTGGCTGGGGCCTCACTGAAATCAGCCTCATGTCTTGCACAGAGCAGAGACCTCAGGTCTAGAGAGGTGACAGGACACACCTGTTCCTGCAGAGCCACCTCTTGGAGAACCACACCCTTGGCTTTTGACCCCTAGGTAGACTAAGTCACAGAGGACAAGAGATTGCTTTTGAGGTTGAGCCCTTGCATTGACCATCACATAATTTCATTCATGTTAACATGAGCACCAGATTCTCAGGCTTCTAAGCTCTCCAACGAGTTAATATGCTTAATGACTTGCCAAAGGTTCAGGTTTATGTAGAAGCACCTCAGGAGAAAGGCTTGATGATCTACATCTGAAAAATCAGTCATCGAAAACCCTTTGGCGCACAGTTCTACTCTGATACACATACACACCATGAGTTGGAATCAGCTTAATGGCACTTGGAAAGCTCTTCAAAGCCAAAAGATCCAGACATTCCTCAAAGAAACCTACCAATCTATTTATTTATTTATTTTGCTTTTTATTGTTAATTGAGTGAAGGTTATAGACAAGATCATCGGTTGTACATCCAACAAATAATGCACTTTGTTTCATCTCAATGATTACAATCCCCTCTGTGGAACAGCCTTCCACTTCCTCCCTGTGGCTCCTATTTCCCGTCCACCCATCTTCCCATCCCTTCTTGACATTGTCCTTAGGTCCGTGTTGCCCCTTTGATTTTGATAAACTGACCCTTCCATCATCCATAGTGAACATATCTTACTAGTATTGTTGCTCCCCCTGTGTACCTATCTACTACTTGGCTGAAAGAGGGTGTATTCATTTCCAAACCTGAAGGGTGGTCAAAGACCACAGTAGAAATTTCCTCCAGTCTCTTTCTGACCAATAAGACTGCTTTTTGTTTTGTTTTTTAAAAAATAATTCTGAGTTTTGTTCTATACATTATGTCACTCTACCCAGGACCTTCTGACGTGATCCTGTTCAGAGCAGTTGTTAGTGGTAACCAGGCACCATTTAGTTCTGCTCTAGGGTCGTGGAGACTGATGTTCACATGCTCCATTAGTCCACTAGACTAGTTGATTCCAAGTACCTTCAATTCTCATATGGAAAGACCAGTAACTTCATCTTAAACGGCTGCTCATGAGCTTATAATGTCCCAGACGGTACTCATCAAAGTTGGGTGTCTTTGTGGACTATGTTGTGCCAGTTGAACATCCACCAATCTATTTAGTCTCAGTTTAAAAAGGCATTGTCAGTTTCTTAAGGTGGATGCTCTGGGTTCATATCACATGTGTGGGTTACATTGGGGTATTTAGAGGAAGAATGAATAAAGTGTTAGAGGGATGTCTGGGATTTCATGGAAATTGATCTAAATAAAATAAAAATAATCCCTTTCCCCCTCTTAACTGAAGAATGGAAAGCTTGAGGTTTTAATTAGTGATTTACTCCTTTACAGATCCTGGTGCTAAGAAACCATGGAGTGGTTGCTCTAGGCGACACCGTAGAGGAGGCATTTTATAAGGTCTTCCACCTGCAGGCTGCGTGTGAGATACAGGTGAGCAAGTTCCTCTGGAAAGTTGGCCTAGGAGTTGGCTCTGACTGGGGCCCATGGGCCAAGGTGGTGGCCCCATGGGCTGTGATTTCGGGAGTCCTTTGAGCCCCACCCTCTGAAAGCACTTTCCCTGTTCTCTGCTTTGGTACCACTTTATCCTTCTAAAGTTGCACTTACAATCACTTCTGTGGCTTTTAAAAAATTATCACCATTGTCAATGCCCCGGTAGGGGAACTGCCTGGCCTCATCAATGGGAACTTGTAACAGGGCAGATGCACAAGTTTTTATCGTGCTCACATGTTACCTGAGGGTGTATCTGCTATACCTAGTATTCTCAGTAGACATTGTATAGGATTTTTGTTTTTGGGGAGTCAAGAGTGTAGCAAAGACCAGGAACATGGTCAATTCTATTAAAAGGGTAGCATGCAGACCAAGGTAATCTGTTGCCATGGCAGCCTGAGCAGCCAGAGGCAACTCTAAGAGATGTGCATCAAGCCTATCATGAATTTCCCTGAACTGGTAAAGGACAGGGTGGATGGAGAATCCAGTGATCATGGGACCACCCGGAGGAGCTGGTGGAGAAGCAATGGGAAAAAAGACTAATCCGTAGGCTTACTAGGTAAGAAGGCGGTGCTGCACAGGCCAAGGTTCACGCTCTGTTAAATGTGGCAGGTGCATCAGGATGAGGCTTTTCACAGCTCTGGAAAGACTTGTTCTTCAGGGCTGGGCTCCATCACTTTCAGTTCTGGGATGCATGCCTTTGGTCAAATGTCTTCACTTCTTTGAGCCTCTGTTTCCTCAATTGTACATGTGGGGCCTGTACAGTTGTTGTGAGGACAGGCTTTTCAGACAAGTCAGGATGTTGCCAACAGCATTTTTTGGACTAAATTGACAGAAGGTGAGATCGGATGTTCCAGCATGCATCACTTCTGCCTGCAGGGCTTGCTCTGTGTCCTGTCTTCCCTATACTGTCCCATCTGGGCAGAGTAGTGTTTAGAGGTAGAACACCTGCTCTTTCTTGGGGGTATTACTGAGCGAAAGATGGGATTGGCTCAGAAGTTTTACCAGTTAGGAACCACAAGTGATGCCTTTTCACTAGCCTTGAGAGGAATATATTGGAGGACAATTGTTAAGACAGTGATGAGGAGATATCAGAGAAGGTGGTGTGAAATTTCCCCCTGAAATAGCAGTAGTCAGCACAAGGAGACATGGAGAAGGTGAATACAGGACTGAGACAATGCCTCTCTGATGTTACTTCCCACCCCACCCCACCAGCCCACAGTGCTGGACCTGAACCCCAGTTACTGCCCGATGTGAGAACATGGCTGAGTCTGATATGCCCTCTTCCCATCCCCATTTTTGAATTCTTAAGAGTTCCCTATTTTTCTTCTCCAGAAGAGACTAACAGGAGAAATTTCACTCCTGAAAAAATCTCCTCTGTTTGTGAAGGCAGCCCAGCCTTAAACATGCATAGAGAATGACTCCCCGATGTCCCACCCACTGCGAAGTATGCCCCTCCCAGGCTGCAGACCTCCAGATATGGCCATCACATAATTTAACCAAAGACAGAATGGACATCTATCAACTAGGGGGTGATCAAAGGGCAGAGCTGTCAGCCTCCATCCCTTCCAGCCCTCCCGGCGGCTTCTCTTTCCCTTACTCAATGGCACTTTCTTTTCAGGGCTAGTTTGATGAGACCTTGTTAAGGTGCATCAGGGAATGGGGGCAGATAACCTCCAGATGCTTTTTTTCCAACTGGTGGGACAGGGAGGCTTCTAGAGCGAGAACAAGGCCAGTAGATATGGAAGGAAGACAGAAAAGAGCAGGCCATAGGTGTGGATGGATTACAGCTCTAAGAGCCATGGCACCACCAGCCTGCAGGTATCTAGATTGCAGTCCCTTCCAGGACCGTTGTTTGGGGGGATGACCAACCTGAAGCTCAGTCATTTCCTACCATGGACCTGGTTTTGTCCCTCAGTGACCTTGGCAAACATGGCTGTGGTCATTTCACTCACTGGTTCCAAGATAATAGTGTGTTCGGTGTTCTTGGGGACAGTATTATCTTTGTTCTCATTAATTTGGGGTTCTAGGAAACTAGGTTACTGCCATCTGAGAGAGATAGCTCCTTGCTCTGCTTGCAGGCAGATGGGAAAAAGCTTGGGTACGTCTTCTCCATCTGCTACTCATCACCATGGAAACTGATGGAGGAAGAGGGAAGTGGGAGGAGGCAACTCTTACGAGGATGTGGGCAGTTTTCTCCCTCACTCCTTCTCCATTAGTTACCCATCCTCATGGGATATTGTTTCTCCACCTTTCATGGTAAAATCTCAGAGTGCTTTTACCAAAAACACTTAAATGATACTCCTGTACTTCAGATAGTACCATCGTAAGTGCTTTACAAATACAAGTAATCCTCATGAGGTAAGTACTGTTTGTTTGTTTTTTTTGTCACTTACAGATAAGGAAACTAAGGTACAGAGAGGGTAAACAGCTGCCCAAAGTCCCACAGTGAGTGAGTGACAGAGCCAGGATTCAAACCAAGGCAGCCTGGCTCCAGAGTCCGTGCCCTTAAGCTGTATTGTGTTGTGTCACCAGGGTAGTCTTTTGAGGAAGCTGTGCTCATAATCCCTCCCTACAGGGAGCTAGCACTTCAAGACAGGACTTCAGCGTCCCCAGAATATCTGACCTGAGGGTGAAGCCTGCATTGGTCAGATCAGAATCTCAGATGAGCTAAGCCAATGACCGGCCAGTTGGGATTCAATGCCTTTGATGCTATATTCCTCTGTGCTCAGCCTCACAGCTGGGTGTATGGGACTCAGAATTGGAAAACATGACAGCAAAGAGCAGAGCTCTGGCCAGGAGTGAAGGGAATGAAGCGGTAGATTTCAACTCAAGTCACTCTTCTGACATTCGACAACAGTGAAATAAGCTGCCTCCCAAAGAATGATACATCAGACAAGGTTTCTTACCATTGAGCGGGAAGATGGAAAAAATAACTTACAAGGTGATTTAAAGGAGCCCTGGGAGCACTGTAGGGTAAGCACTGGACTTCTAACTACAAGGTTGGCAGTTCAAACCCACCAACTTCTGTGAGGGAGAAAGATAGACTTTCTGCTCCTGTGAAGGTTTACAACCTCAGGAACCCTATACAGCGTCACGATGAGTCAGAGTTAACTCAGTGGCAGTGGCTTGGGGTTTTGGTTTAGGGTTATTTAAGAAGTCGTGGTGGCATAATGGTTACGTGCTTGGCTGCTAGCTGAAAGGTTGGTAGTTTGAACCCACCATTCACTCTGCAGAGAAATGACTGTGCTCAGCTCCCATCAGGATTTCAGCCTAGGAACCCTTATGGGGCAGTTCTGCTCTGTCCTGTAGTGTTTCTATGATGGCACACAAGGACAGCATGGCCCATTCCAATTCAGAGCTCCAGTCGCACAGGATTATCTTTACTATGGTGTGGAGTCATCTTTATAAGATAAAAATGGAGCCTTCCTTGGACTTACGTCTTGGATGAAGTGGGCATGGAAAGTAAGTGTTCCTGCCTCTTTGTCTTCACAGAGTGATGAGGGCACCTGGGGAAGGTTACCTGGCTGACCTCCAAGAAGTCTCAAAAGAGGCATCCTTACTCTGATGAATCTAACATAGTCCAGGCTCCGTATAGCATCCTCATGACTTCAGTGCACCGCATGAATTAGTAAATCTGTGTTTGTCAGCAAGCTAAATCGAATCCTTACATCTTCAGTAAAAAATAACTGTCACACAAAATTGAAACATTAAAAGTGTATATGATCAGAACAATTCCCAGTTAATAAGCAGGCTTGCATGGGAAATCAAATATTAATCAAAATGCTAATGCACTAATGTGCAGTGCAAAACCCCCAAATCGCTACCTGGAGTACTTAAAAATTACCATCTCTCTCTGTAGGGGGGCCTATCTAGGAAGCCAAATCATAGCCAATTATATCTAAGTGGTAGATATGTGGGAGTAAATAGAATATACCATTAAATGAGCATGGAATTGAAAAAAAAAAAAAAAAGGAATTGGTTAGATGGATGAAAGTTTATTCATTCTAAAATTGCTTGATCTACATGCACACTTCTTGATATAAGATTTGAAGTTCATTGTCTGCCACCACCTCCTCCTGCATCCTTTCCTTCCCATAGAATCTGGACAGTGGGGCATCAGTCCCTGGTGGAAGCAGCCATTGTGTGGGGCTCTGCGTTATCAGTACCGTCACCTCATTCTAGGTGTCCTGGACCGATGTTCTTCCTCTAGGCCTATTCCTTCAACCTGCCAGGCCACATTCAGTTCCACTGGCCTAGAAACAAGAATATTTCTCTCAAGTGAATTAAAAAAATTACGTAGAAAACAATATAAAAGAGATCTACTACTTTAATGTAGGAAATATTAGCATCCTTTTTGCTTTCAATCTTTTTCTTTTCAAGAAGTAGACAAGAGTCAAAGTCCCTTTTGGAGCCCATTCTGGTCTCACCCTTCCTCTCTTCCCAGAGGCAATCACAGTTAAAAGTTAGTCTGTGTTGCTGGTGACTTTTCAGTCCTCTGTATTGTGTTACTCTTAAGGCTTAACACTCATGACTTGTTTTTTTCCGGATAGTCACTATGATAGGAAATAGACTACTAGCATCTCTTACTGTAGAGAATCATGCATGCCCAGCAAGCTAGGGAACTTTTCCTCAAGAAGGAAAAGCCAGATGCTCCTCAGTTTCTCAGATGTGTGTGGTTCTGAGTTCTCCTCCCCAACTCCCCACACTCGGACACACACATGACCTTAGGGTTCTCTCTGCCGCAGGTGTCTGCGCTGTCCAGTGCCGGGGGAGTGGAGAACCTCATCCTCCTGGAACAGGAGAAGCATCGGCCCCACGAGGTGGGCTCTGTGCAGTGGGCAGGGAGCACCTTCGGGCCCATGCAGAAGAGCCGGCTCGGGGAGCACGAGTTTGAAGCCCTCATGAGGATGCTGGACAACCTGGTAAGAAGTCTCTGTTCTTGGCTTTCCAGACCAGTCTACAGAAGTCTAGTCTCCCAGAAGCCATCAGTAACAGCTGTAGTTAGGTAGCCACCACAACTGCCAGCATGGTGGTTATGTTGATTATGTCATTGATTGGCAATTTGATTTAGAATTTGTGGCCATTCTAATGCTAATTTTTCTTAAATGACCTTTGCCATCAGTCCTAAGAGATGTGGATGCCATCCCACCTTAGAGTGTTCTTTGGAGAAGGGATAGGTATTTTAATAAGTGGCTGGTATTAGAAGTTGAATTAAATACAGAGCAGAATCAAAGAGCTTCTCTTGTATTATGGTTTACTTCACTTCCCTCAAGTAGTTTGTTTTCATTTTCCTCAGTAGCAACAAACTGACAGACCAATAATGTACTTGATTTAAATTCAGGATCAATTTATAAAAGTAACAGCTGTTAAATAGAACATAAGAATACTTATTTAACCTGGTTTAAACATCTTTTCTCCAAACAAGAGCCAATATCATGGTGAAACCCCCGAAGGATTGTCATTAATCTTATCAACAAAACAGTGATTCCTGTTCTCAGCACCATTGCTGGGTTGTTGTTTTTTTTTTTTCATAAAACCCACCTTTTTCTTTACACTTTTCCATATTGCTTAGCTTTTCTATGTACGTCTATATTTTCTTTATAATCAGAAAAATTCCTTGATGCTATTTTAAGTTTAAAAAATCATAAACAAAGAAGACAGGCAGAACAGCGCATATTCCAGCTGCCACCGATATTCCTGCACCTTTGCTGTCAGTGAGAAGCAGTCAGTTCTGCCCTTGTGGGGTGTGGACAACAGTCCTGCTCTTGCTTGAGGCAGATTTTGGGGCTACAAGACAGAAGTAGTTAAGATCTTTGTGAGATGTCGAAGGGAGGGGCTGGCCATTCGAATAATCTGGGAAACGTAAAAAAAAAAAAATTCTGTAGTCCAGTCTCTCCACTGATACACCAATGAATCATCATTGTCTCTGAGGTAAGAAAGGATCCCTGATAGGACAGTAATTAAATCACTTGACTGCTAACTGCAAGGTCGAAGATTCGAACCCACCAGCTGCTTCATGGGAGAAAGACATGGCCGTTTGCTTCCGTAAAGATTTACAGCCTTGCAAACTCTGTGGAGCAGTTCTGCCTTATGCTATTTGGGTCTCTACGAGTCAGAATTGACTGGACGGCAGTGGGCTTGCTTTGGGTTCTGAGAGGGGGACCCTGGGAACACATTTTTTAAAAGCTTCCCATGTGGTTGTGTTGTGAGAAGGACTGAACCAGCTGAGGGGGTAGAGCTCTGCCTGGCTGGCTCATGACGTTCTGAAGTTGCAGGGATTTTCTTAGTCTGATCAGAGGACTTGATGGGCATGGAGAGAGGCAGGGATTGAGGGATTCTCTTAGTTCCCATTGCTGCCCTAACAGAAATCCCACAGTGGGTGACTTTAGAGAACAGAAATGTATGTTCTCACACTTTGGGAGGTTAAAACCAAAATCAGGATTTCAGTCATGGTATTTTCTTCCTTCTATGTAGCCCCAGTTGTTCTTGGCTTGTAGGTGATCCTCACCTGTCATCTGTCTTCACCTGTGTGTCCCTGTATGTCAGTTCTGCTGATATACAGGGACACCCATGTGTCCTCATTAACACAACAAAAGAAATCCCTATTTCCCAGCAGCGTCACACCCACAGACATAAGGGTCAGAAACTCAATATATGTAACTTTTGGAAGGACACAATTTAATCCAAATAGGGATCAAGGGAAGGAACAATTTTGAAATATATCAGAAGAGCTACGAGGCCTAGGTTGTATTCTATAGATTCTACTTTAAATTCCGTCCTTTAAAGGAAAAGAAGCAATGTTTGTGAGCACATCACCATCAGGGGCTATATTTTTGTCTTATTTAGGGTTACAGAACAGGCTACACATACCGCCACCCCTTTGTTCAAGAGAAAACCAAACACAAAAGTGAGGTGGAGATTCCGGCCACAGTCACAGCTTTCATATTTGAGGAGGATGGCACGCCGGTGCCTACCTTGCGGCAGCATGCCCAGAAACAGCAGAAGGAGAAGACCCGCTGGCTCAACACCCCCAACACCTACCTGCGGGTCAATGTGGCTGACGAGGTCCAGAGGAACATGGGCACCCCCCGGCCCAAGACCACAGTAAGGAGAGGGGACAAGGAGGCTACTGCTGGGGAGGTTCAGGGCAGATGGAGCAGCCAGGGAGGCAAATGGAGCAGCCTGGGGTTGTTAGCTTTAAAAGGAGAACACAGCAAATCCCTCCCAGGTCTGGGTTAGTACAGTTTCTTAGAGCTTCCTATTGATTAGCGGGAGCAGCTGTTCACATCCACTGGGCCTTTGACTACCTGTTTCTTGACCCTTTGCTATAAGCTTTTGGGTTTGAGGGGCAGATTTTACCAGTGGAGAGCTGGACCAGGTATCTCCCAGCAGTACAAAACCCAGGAGCACTTCGTATCTGCTTCTTGCCCCCACATCCGGAGAAAGCTTCTTGGAAATTCAAAGGCTGAACTTGGGCATTTGGATAGCATAGCTGATGTAAACCCAGGAGGTGCGCAAGATACTGATTTTTATTAAGCTGTATATTTCTCCCTCCTCCCTTCTCCCCTTTCCCTGTGTTCTGACTTCCTCAGTCCCTCTCCTTGTTTCTTTCCTTCTGTCCCTCTCTACCACCCTTTCTCCTTCTATCTCTCTCTCTTAAAAACACCCTGACTCTAAATACGCATTTCCATGAACATAAAAGTAGCTGAAGCTGGAATCTTTGTTTCATGCAGATAATTAATAATTAACATGGTTGGCTATACATAGCTGCTAACCAAGAGACTGGAGGTTTGAAACCACCCAGCAGTGCTTAGAAAGAAAGATTTGGCAAACTACTTGGAAAAATCAGCCATTGAAAACCCTTTGGGGCACAGTTCTACTCTGACACAAATGGGGTTGCCAGGAGTCAAAATTGCCTCAATAGCAGCTTGTTAGTTGGCAGTCAGTAGAACAGCTCTTCATAAAAAAAGTGAAGCCCTGTAGATTCCAGTCAGTGGCTCATCCAGTCCTGAAGCACAAGTGGTAACTAGGCTCTGCTCCCTACTCTCCAGTGTTCTTCATGGCCAACCACTTGAAGACCTTCTTGGGTAGATTCACTATTTGTTGCACACTTCTGCCCTGAGTGTTAGACATCAGAAAGACCCAAGAAGATAGAATATCTCTGTGTAGGCTTCTGACCTTCCACGTGGAGGTGACCACCGGGGGAGTGTGTGGGTCTTGCTCCATTGACTTGTACTCAGCTGACCTTGTGTTTGTTCAGTGGATGAAGGCTGATGAAGTGGAGAAATCCAGCAGTGGTGTGCCCATACGGATTGAAAACCCAAACCAATTTGTGCCTCTCTATACCGACCCCCAAGAAGTGCTGGACATGCGGAACAAGGTAAGTGGGCTTGTTCACTTCGCCACCCCCCTTTCACCGGGTGGGGGGGGGCACTCACATCCTGCAAACATGAGCTCAGTTTCCAAGATGCACCTGACTTACCAACATCCCAGGCACTCCATGCAGGAAGGAAACCACTATCTATTGGCACTCTTCCAGGCCCCCTGCTTACGTTGTGCTCTGGAGTTCTCTTACATGTATCCTAAAGCCCTGCTCAGGAACATAACTTTTATTAATTTGATAACTGTTTTCATTTTGACTAATTTTCAAAGTTCTTTATATTTATTTCTGACGTTTGCCGTAAAGTTCACTTGCTTATATTTCTAATGGTACTTTACAACTTCAGTTGTAGCAGATCATCTCCAGTAGGCCCAATAAGCTCACACACTGATCAGTGTTTCAATGTGTGGTTCCAGGGCCTCTTGTGTTTAAGATGCAGATTCCTAGTCCACACCTTCTGGAGTTTCAGATTCAGTAGATGGGGAGTAGCTCCAGGAATCATTATTGGAATAAATTTCTCAGGGGATTCTTTGCTGTTAAGTGATGCCATTGAGTCATTTCTCACTCTTAGCGATCCTGTATGGGGTTTTCAAGGAGTGGCTGGTAGGTTTATATCAATGCAATGGCTTCCAGTTGTAGAGTCCCTCAGTGGAAAAGAGAGAGCCCTTCTCATATGTCCATTATATTGAGAGCAGACCACACCCCAGGAAACACCCTTTCAGTTGATGTTGTTACTGTTAAGTGCTATTGAGTCAGTTCTGACCTATAGTGACCCTATATAGGGTTTCCAAGGAGTGGCGGATGATAGGTTTCTCGTAGCCACTCATCATAGAGTTAACTTCGCCTGTATTAGATTTTATCACCATGGCAATAAGCACACTGCTAAATCTCTGGAAATCCTGGCCTAGACAAATTGACATGAAACCCTATGTATTACACCTCTTTCCACAGATTCGAGAACAAAACCGGCAGGATGTGAAGTCAGCAGGGCCTCAGTCCCAGCTTCTGGCGAGCGTCATCGCTGAGAAGAGCCGGAGCCCGGTACAGCAGAAGCCGCCCCTGTCTGGAGGGGACACAGGCTTGCCTTCTGGGTCTGCGGTGCTTGGGGCTGGGGAGCAGGACCTCTGAGTCCTCATGCCCATCTTCCCCTGTGCCCTGGCTGCAAAACTGAGGTCTACCTCACAGGGGTGTTGTGAGGACCAGGGACAATGTTGAATGTCTCCCTTTGGGCACTAGTTTGGGGAGCAGCAGCCCAGCTACCCATGGAGTGATGCTGGCTTCCATGCCTCCTTCACCCATGGAACTCTGCTTTGCCAGATATTAGTATTCTGCAAAGTAGAGACTCACAGGGCTTGTCCCTGCCGTGTGTGCTTCTGCCCTCTTTGTGTGGAAATGGCATTAGGCTGTAGCTCTGGGAAGATGCTCATGAAGTCACAGGGGACAGGCATGCATACAAGGAGTCATGCTCCAACAGGATGGGAAGGGGCCACGGCCCCACAAACCCACATAGAGATAGAAAGTAAAAAGCCATGGTTTTCATGTTTGAACTAGAACAGTGTTTGTCTGGTGCTTAGCATAAGGGATAAAGATGAGAATCCTGCCTTGTGTTTGAAGTCACTGCTACTCATGGCAACAGGCATGGTATTTTCCTGAGCAGCAGAAAAAAGGAAATGTCCCTCTTTATAGAGCAAGTTGTTAATTAGGCTTCCAATCACAAGGTGGATGCCCATTAGCAGAAGTGGAAAGACTGTCTCCCTGCACCCACCTCTACCACACCTCAACTTTACCAATATGGGGAACACTTACTGAGCAACAGGGTCAAGGGTAGAAATAGCCTGTGGTACTGGGGGAGGTGAGAGTTCAACCCAAAAAGCAAACCTGTTTAAAACGCAACTGTTTAGACTAAGTGTGCTCTTCGGAATCTCTCATCTGGGATCCTGGTCTTGGATTCCCCTTTGAACTTTATGTAGCTGCTTTGTTAAGATAAGCCCAGTACTGCCTCCCTTTTGGAAGGAATCCATGGGCTCCTCAGTAGAAGGCCTGGCTAGCAGGCCAAGGAGGCCTGGAGGGCAGGGTAGAGACTTTAGGAAGAGAGAGGCTCCCTTCCCTTCGAGGTATTTTCCCTTTGCTCTTCCTCAGCCTCAGAGTAGTGGATTCTCAAAGGCCAAGATAAGGATGCTGTATTAGGAAAGGAACTCTGGAGTCTGAATTTTCATCCCTGTCCTAGACTTTTTGTTGTTGTTGTTGTTGTTGTTAAGTACCGTCAAGTCAATTCCAACTTATAGCGACCCTGTATAGGGTTTCCAAGGAGAGGCTGGTTCATAGTGTAGTGCTGATCCTACAGCACCACAGGAACCAAATAATCCCTGGAAACTTAGTGGAAAAAAAAAAGGTCCAGCTCAGCAGCTGTCCATGACGACCATTCAACAAAGGGGGCAAACAAGTGACATTGCTGATGTCCCCTCAGAGACCTGCAGGACAGACTGGCTGAAGATTCCCAGCTCATAACCCTGGCCCTCTTGTCATTTGTGACTGTGTGTACAACAGGACAAATAGTTTGCACTGACGATGCTGATGTTACTGTGTGTTTTGCATATGATTTAATGCTGTGTGTCGTGGCCTGAACTGCTGTTGGGGGTGGGCAGGGGTAAAGGTGGGGTACAGCTGGCATGAAGCTTGCTTGAGCCAATGCTATGCTTGCTAGGCTTTGGCTGATGACTTTGGGCCACTGATTGTATTTGCATAGTGATGGATGGCTTGGAAGTGTCCAGAGAAGGGACTATAATAAAGGTGTGTCTTCCTTCTGCTTGGGAGCATCCTTTGGTTTTATTTCAGGGGCAGAGGGTGGACCCTGCCCTGGCATTCATCCAGGCAGTTTCAAAGGACTGAGGTTTGGGGGGGTGAGGTAGCTGTGGAGAGGAGCGCACAACCCCAACCTCAAGGCCCTGGGCTATTTCTAAGGAGCTCCATGCCCCACTGTCCCTAACAAGACCATTGGCAGCCACCTAAGTCTGAAAGGAAGCTGGGCCTGGGCCCCATCTGCGGCATTCCGAGAGCGACATGCTCTCTGTGGTTAACTTTCAGTCTACAGAGAGCCAGCTGATGTCCAAGGGTGATGCGGATACCAAAGATGATTCAGAGGAGACCGTACCCAACCCCTTCAGCCAACTCACCGACCAGGAGCTGGAGGAGTACAAGAAAGAGGTGGAGAGGAAGAAACTGGAGCTTGATGGTAAATCACTCTGGGGAAGGGGGCATCATCCCTTCAGGATTCTTCTGGGGTGGAAGGAAGAGGGCAGGAGCACCCAGAGAAGGGGCAGAAAGAGCAAGCAGATATTGACATGGCCACCATCATCCTGGGGGCCTGAGAGGAAAGCTTCTCTGAGCCTCAGTGTTCTTAGTTGTCAGGTTCAATTGTCAGTGCCAATGGAGTCCCGATGTGGCACTGTAGGATAAGCACTGGACTGCTAACCACAATATTGGTGGTTCAAACTCTCCAGCTGCTCTTCAGAAACCCTATACAGGGTCAGTTCCAACTCAAAGCGATCATGTATAGGGATTCTGAGGCTGTAAATCTTTGTGGGAGCAGAAAGTCTCATCATTCTCCCTCTGAGCAGCTGGTGGACTTGAATCACTGATCTTGTGGCTTGCAATGCAGTGTTAAGTGCTAGGAGATACATATATATGAGGGGGAAAATTCTATTCTTTTCTTTTTTAAAATGTTTTATTGTGAATTATGTGATTGTTTACATGGTAGAACATTAGCTTTACATTCATCCTATCGTATATCGTTTCATTGCCATGGTTACAATCCCTTCCATGCATCATCAACCACCCAAAGGGTATACCCTGAAAACCTGCCCCCTGGTCATCAGCACACAGCCCCTCTCCCTCTCTGGGTCTAAAGTCATCAGCCACTCCATCTCTCCACGCCATCGTCTCTGCCTCCATCTCTGGATTCACTGCTTCTCTGGGTACGGTCCCACTCTCTGCTCTTCTCCTTTGATGGTCTCAGGGACCTCCGCTCCTAGACTGCAAAGTCAATCACTCCCCTCCTTTTGCTATAAAACGTCTACCTTTACATTTCCAACCCCCACAATCAGTCCTGATAACAATTATTCACTATTGTACCACAAAAGAACTATCCCCATCTCCTTTCATCAGCCCCGCCCAGACAGATTGGATACTACTCAGTGGAGATTCTAGCTTCCTCCGCACCCTCTGGATCTAGGCTCCCTCTTGAAAGCTTGTAAGCCAGTCACTTCTTGCCTTTGTAGCCCCCACATTTTGGGTAGCCAATGTCCAAGTTGCCCATCCTTGTCTACCCTCTGTATTGAGAAGGTGGAAATGATCCTTGCTGTAAAGATTCTTCTAGTTGAGTTCTGATCGTCCAGTCGTTGAAGCCACGTCAAGTGGGTATTATCTTCAAGTGCGGGTGTTCTTGTGCACATGCCCTCTGTCCTTATCAGCTGGACACTTCACTCTCCACTCTAGTCCTCTGTGGCTATGTCACTGACTGTGGGCCCAGGAGTCCCCAGGTCTTGCCACACTGCTGGCCAACCAGGTCTCTACCCAGGTTTACAGGAGTCTATTGAACATGGTAGGACTTAGCTTGCAGCTTTATTGCTGTTTTCCCCTCACTTACCCCTATCAGTGACCAACGTGGTCACCAGTCAGAGAACATGTCTGCTCATGTATTCTCATTGAGTCTTAGTCTTGGAAGGGAGTTTGCTGTGGAGGGGATCTGCCCACTTGCCTTGATGTCTTCTGAGCGAGCAACTTTCTTGTTCTTGTAGTGGTCAGTCGGACTGCCATTACTGTTTTTATTTTTCTTGTCGGTCTTTCTTTCAAGAAGTATCTTCTGTTCTTCTAGCCACTCCAGGCTGGTCTGCTTGTCCTTTCAAGTGGGAATGTCCCACCTCAGA